TGTGATGTGCGTGATTGGCCAACATCAGAGTTTCCTTGTGATTTTATGGTTTTATTTGATATTCGCTATCAAGTAGGCAGTCATCTCAGCAAGATTCTACAGAGGTCACATCAAGTTTAAAATTTCAAATCTATTGCCAACTGTGGAAAAATCATATGCTGTAGAAGTACTCACAAATTGGGCCAGATGCATGTTTAACTCCATGAAGAATACTAGCCTTTCCTGCAGAGGTTTGGAAGCAGTGAGAAAGTGATGTGGGTTGTGGCCCATCCTTGTAGGTCCAGTTTCTCCTCCTTCTTCCACTTCACATCCATCTTCCCTTTTTGACTGCTTTATCTGCAGACTTCAGGCTCCAGCACCAGACAAAAAAGCATCAGCCTCCCACACTGTTTAACCAGCTGCCACAATTTGTAAAGTCAAATTCCTATAGTCGACTCCTTATTCTATATATATACACACACACATACACATATGTATTTACATTTATATAAATATAAAATATATTTATATTCAAAATTTTATATATAGATATGTATTTACATATACATATATTTGATTTTTCTTCTAGTGGCTCTTCTTCTCTAATGGAGCCCTAACTGACTGTGTCTTTACAGCTCTTCCCCTTGAATCTGGGCTGGCCTTGTGACTTGCTTTGCTTAATAGAACGTGACAGAAGTGACAGGGCCCAGTTCTGAGCCTAGGCCTCAAGAAGCCTTGCACGTTTTCTCTCTTGGAACCCTGTAACCACTGTGTGAACAATCCCTGGCTAGCCTGTTGGAAGATGAGAGAATACTATATGGAGGAGAGTCAAGTCATCCCAGACAAGGCCATTCTTGACTAGCCATAACCAGCTGTCCCACCAAAATATGAGTGATCCCAGCCATGACCAGCAAAGCTGCCTACCCCACCCCCGGCTGACCACAGATGATAAGTGAGCCCAGCTGAGAGCACACCCACCAGCTGACCTATGATCTTCTGACCAGTAATAAATGCATATTATTTAAGCCACAAGTTTTAAGGTGTTTTTTTCCCACAATAGTGGCTAACTGATGCATCTAGCGTATTAATTTTTCCTTCTTTTATTGTGAAATATAAAATACATACAGAAAAGTACATAAAACATAAGTTTAACAAGCAATTATAAAGTGAAATTACGTGTAATCACCCCCTAGGTCAAGAAAAAGGGCGTTGCCAGCACAGAAGCAGCCCCCACCCTCCCCATCTGTGTGGCTTCTCGCTTGTTCCCTGATCCTTCCCCACTATCCTGACTTTTGAGATAATCATTCCCTTGCTTATTTTGATAGCTTCACCATGTATTAGGGAAAACAGTATCACTTAGTTTGCCTGTTGTCAGCCTTTATATTCTATGTGATTTCTTTTTTGCCTAGCTTATTTTGCATTGTTTATAAGATTCAACTATGTTGTCCTGTGTAGCTGTGATCTGTTCATTTTCATTGCTATGTATTGTCCTATTTTATATTTTATATGTATATTTATATGTATATTTATGAATATACCCAGGTTTATGGATATTTCGGGTATTTGTGGTTTGGGACTATTCCTAGACTTTGCCTTTAAGTTTTCTTGTCTATGTATCCTGGTATACTTGGGCACGAGTTTCTCTAACGCAGTGGTTCTCAAATTTTTGATTCCAGAATCTTAAAAAGTAAAAATTAAATAAATAAAAGTAACTAACTAAATTTTTTTATTTAAAAATGTGAAGTTATTGAGATCTGAGACCCTTAGGAATATTTATTGAATAATTCATTTAAAATAACAATAATAAACCCATTACATGTTGTATTCGTTTCCTGAGGCTGCCATCACAGATTACCACATACGCGGAGGCTTAAAGTAACAGAAATTTGTTCTCTTACAGTTGTGGAGGCCAGAAATCAGAAATTAAAGTGTGACCAGGCTCGGTTCCTTCTGGAAGCCCTGAGGGAGAACCTGTTCCATGCCCCTCTCCCAGCTTCTGGGGGCAGTGGGCAATCCTTGTGTTCTTTGGCTTGCAGACACATCACTCCAGTCTCTGCGTTTGTCTTCAAATGGCATTCTCCTGTGTGCCTATGTTTGTATGTCTCAAATCTCCCTCTCCTTTCTCCCATAAGAATACCAGTCATTGGATTTAGGGCCCACCCTAAATCCAGGATGATCTCACCTCAAGATCCTTAACTTAATTACATCTACAAAACCCCTATTTCCAAGTAAGGTTGAATTCATAGATACTGGGAGTTACAATTTGGACATATGTTTTTGGGGGGACACAGTTCAACCCACCACACATGTTAACATAAACAACATATTTTTAAATGAAAAATAGCTATGTCTTCCAAATAAAAATGTAGTGATAAGAGCAACATTGCTTTACTTTTTAGTAACTCTCTTTAATATCTAGATTCACTGAGAAGGTGGGGGCTCATCTGCTTTTACACTGAATCCATTATTTGTTGTTTGGGTTGAGCTATATGATGAAAATCCAGCCTCACATAGACAATCTCAGATCCTCTGAAAGGGGTCTTTGGAGAAAACTTTGAGAACAACTGCTCCAAAGTACATACTTTAAAGTATATGCAAAGTGGAATTTCTGAGATATAGATATATAGATACATACGTACATATCTTCTACTTTATTAGATAATGCCACATTATTCTCCAAAGTGGTTGTATCAGTTTACATTTCCACCAGCAGTGTATGAGGGGTCTTGGTGCTCCATACGCTCAGCAATATCCGCTATTGTTGCACTTTAAAAATTTTGTCTAGTGGTGGTGTGTAATATATTACGTTGCGGTTTTAATCTTATTCATTCGTTCATTCATTCATTCTTTGTTTATATTGCCATTTTATGTATGAAGAAACCGAGGTTTACAGGGTTGGCCCCGTGGCCGAGTGGTTAAGTTTGCGCGCTCCAGTTCAGCGGCTCAGGGTTTCACTGGTTCAGATCCTGGGTGTGGACATGGCACCACTCGTCAGGCCATGTTGAGGCGGAGTCCTACATGCCACAACTAGAAGGACCCACAACTAACATATACATCTATGGGCTGGGGGAATTTGGGGAAAAAAAGCAATTAAAAAAAAAGATTGGAAACAGTTGTTAGCTTAGGTGCCAAGCTTTAAAAAAAAAAAAAAAGAAAGAAACTGAGGTTTAGAATAGCAATGTGACTTGCCCAAAGTCAAGAGTTAGAAAATAGAACCTGTTACCGAAACCAAAGTGGGTTCCCTCCCAGCAGGTTAAATCAGACTCTTCACCAGAAGTAGTTGTCTCACAAAGTAAAGTATAGTTGCAGCAAACAGGGGACAATGAGGAATCATTTCCAAAGTCATGGCATCCGCGAACAAAGGGAAGCAAGGACATTTATTTTGGATGGGAGATGAATATATTCAAAAGAGAGAGGTGGGTATTCGCTTGCACAGGCTCAGCTGGAAAACATGCTTCCACACACACTGCAGGTTATGGTAACAAGGCCTAAGCTCCTCCTGGAGAGATCTTAGCACTAAAAATAATGCAAAGGTCATAGGCATAGCTCTTGTGGTGAGGGTTGGTTTGGTTCAGGAGGTTGGTGATTGCATCTCCTTAACACAACAAAAGGAAAAGCAACAATTTGGAAAAACAGCTAAAATATCCAAACCCACCCTTCAGTTCCTTGGGGTAACTAGTCAGTGACAAAATCACATTTTCTGTTTTGAAATTCATTCTTCTTTTCACTCACGCACAGATAATGCTTCTGTGTCTGACCCAGATCTCAGGAAGGTGCAATCTCCCCCCAATCTCATTTCCTAAGGACTCCTTTCCCCATGGCAGAAGCTTGGGCACCCAGGCTGCTAGAGGTCCTGCAGCTCCCCTGTCATCAACGACCGCCCCCTCCAAACCTCCCCTCAATTCCCTGCCTGGCTCCTACCCACCTGACTCTAGTTACTTCTTACAAAACCCTCTATTCAGCCTCTGTTGACCATCTTAAAGTGTATAAGCCTCACCAAGGTCCTTTATAAAAAAGAGATTAATACCTAATTCGCGTTTATATGCACGAGAAAATGTATAATTTAAGAAACCAACAACTACTAGCTACTATTCACATTATCCACTATTATTTTTTAAGCACTCTAACACAAACCAGTGATGTGATCATATGCAAGTTACTCAACTTTTTGGATCAATTACCTTATCAGTAAAATAGGCATAATAATATCTACCATATTGGGTTGTTTGAAGGATTGAAAGACATATGTCACTGATCAGGAGCACTCAATAGATGTTTATCTAACAAAAGCTTATCTAGTGCTTACTATATGACAACCACTCTTCTAAGCCCTTTTTCCAAATATTGAAGACTTGAAATAATCATCCGGGTTAGGTACTATGATCCTCATTTTACAGATGCAAAGACTAAGGCAGAGAGGTTAAGCAAGTGAGCAACTGGCCCAAGGTCACATAGCCACTAAGTAGCAGAGCAGGAATTAAAACTCCTGCAGTGTGATGGTCCCAGAATTCGCCCTCCTTGCTAAATTGGTCCCCCCAAATACTTTTTTATTATTTATGATGTAATTCTCAGCAAACTGCAAAACGCTCTACCACCGGTGATTAGCCCCCTAGCACAAAATGAGGTCTTCACAACTTCCTGGGAGCTCCCCCAGCGACGGGAGCACGCATCGACGTAAGCCCGGGAAGCACTGGCTTCTGGCTGGGACCGCCGCACGCCCCAACGACGCACTCGCAAACCGCACCCCTTCTTTTGGCCCCGCCCCGTCACGCTCAGTACGCTGGCCCCGCCCCTCCGGCGGCGGCAGAGGCCAAGCGGACGCCTCGCGAGCTTCCACGTACGCGCTCCAACGCCTCTGCCCGCAGCCCGGGGAAAGAACATCCGGGTCGCTGAAGCAGGTGCCTGAGGCCCCTCCCCTTCCTCCCGAGCGCTCGCCCCACTTCCGGCCACCTCAGGCCTTTTCCGCCTGTTCTCTGCCGGTTTTTCTCTGTTCCCCAAGTCTCTCCCGGCCCCCGGCCCCCGGCCCCCGGCCCCGTTCCCTCAGCACCCCGCGCTCGTGCCCAGCGGTCGCCTCCTATCCCGAATCTCTGTGAGGCTCGGAGCGACTCTGCTGTGCGTCTTTGCGGGGCGGCCGGGCTGAGGCCTGCCGCGGGCGGTGCGTCCTCTCAGACCTGACCCCGCGTCTCCGCGCAGCTCCGGTGAGGCCGTCGCCGTCGCCTCGAGATGCTGCGGCCGGGGTCCGCGCGGCGCTGGTTGGCCGCCGCGGGCCGTTGGAGCTGCAGGCTGCTCGCGCTGCTGCTGCTGGTGCCGGGGCCCGGCGGCGCCTCTGAGATCACCTTCGAGCTGCCCGACAACGCCAAGCAGTGTTTCTACGAGGACATCACGCAGGGCACCAAGTGCACCCTCGAGTTCCAGGTACTGCGGGCTCCGGAAGTTTCGGGGTCTGGGCTATCACCTGCAGGGTGCCCCCTTCCTGTCCGTTTTTCTCTATTTGGCTGATTCAGGAGTCACCTCTAGGTAGCTGGTGCAGGGCATTTGGCTTTCCTCTTCCAAATCTTGGGTGAGACATTAAAGAGCAGATACTAAGATACAGGAATTCCAGAAATGCTTCCTGTAGCTGTGACTTTTCCTTCCTTCTCTAATGTCCTTCATTTTAAGGCCTATTGAACTTGCTTCCTTAAAAGACTTTCCTTTTGAAAAGTTATTCCTGTTCTGTAGTGCCCAGTGTCCATCCCCTACCCTCTGACCCGCGCCTCCACTTTAATCAAAGTACTGCCAATATCTTAACTCCATTACTTTTCAGTTTCTCCATTAACATTAGTGCTGTCTCTGTCATGGGAACAGCTCCATTCGAGGCCGGATGAGCGTTTACCAAAGGTGTTACAGATATAAAACTGGTGTGATAAATGAGAAGCCCCTTCTCATCTTTGGGATTATCTAAAAAAGAAACCTTATTTAACAGAATGTAGTTTCTTAAGTTGGTTAGAACCATCTTTACTCTGTTTCTATTTTTGTTAGTAGATTTATTTAACTTATTTGAGCAGCTGTTGATTGCTAGGTGCTGGTGATGCAGACGTGATCAAAACAGATAGGTCGCTGCTGTCACCCATCCTGCCCTTCTTAGTTAGGACCTGCTCATTCATCAACACTGTGCTTTAAGAGCGGAAAGTAGGAGATATATTGTCTGGTCTTCGGTATCTATGAAGGCTTCCTGTAGGAAATGATTTTAAGTTGAGTTGTACAGGATGAGTTGCAAATACTTTGGTAAGGAGGAAGAGGGAATAGCTTTTGCAAGGTCCGTGCCGGAGGAAGGGAGGTCAGCAGGGGCCAGACCATGTAGTACCTTGCCAGCCGTGTTAGAGATTTTAGTTTTTCATAAGAAACTGGGAAGCCATCAGAGAGTTGTAAGCAGTGCAGTGACACGGTCCAGATATTCATGATAGCTGTCTGATTATTGCACAGGTAGAGAAAGTATGACAGAATGTTGCCGAATGGATACAGAAGACTGACTAGGAGGCTATTGTAGTGGTCTCGGCTTAGACTAGGGTGGGAGCAGTGGAAAAGGAGAAGAGGGAAAGGATTGGAGAGAATTTAGTGGGTAAAATCAACAGGACTTGATGAGGATTTAGCTATAGGGAGTGAGGGAGGGGAGGCTAAAGATGACCCTTAGACTTGCTTAACTACATGGATTAGGATCAGGGGACAGAAAAGAAAACAAGAATTGTAATGTAAAGTTCTGTTGGAATTTAACAAACGTTTTTTGAATTCTTTTATGTGCAGACACTGCTTGGTGCTGAGAATACTGCGACTGCTACTCTTAGTGGGCTAAAAAATGAGCATCTGTTATGTGGCAGACAGTATGAGAAGCATTTCAGGTGTATTAATTCTCAGGACAATTCGATGTGAAATAAGTATAGTTCTTATTCCTTTTTTATTGATGGAAAAAACTGAGGCTTTGAGGTTAATACTCAAGGTCACAAAACTTAGCTAGTAGCATAATCAGTAGGCAGTCCCAGGTTAAATTCTTAACTACTTTGTTATACTACCTCCCAAAGGTAAATAAGACTGACTTTGACCTCAGGCAGTCTGCATAGACAAATACAGTCATATAATGTTAAATGCAACAGTGAAAGTACACTCTAGGTATAGTGCTGAGAAAGGGGGAGGAATCATCAGGGGAAATTTAGCTGAAGGGCTGATGTTGACCTGAGTCTAGAAGGAGAAATAGGAGTTACTCTACAAGGTGGCAGAAGGGAAAAGGACATCCTAGGCAGGTATGTTTGTGAGACCTAATTCCTGAAATTAGCCTGAGCTGGCACTGAAATACACAAGTAGTAGTGTTGCTTTGTAACTGTGGGTCCAAGAGCTTTAGGGGCAGTTGGACCAGTTTGTCAGCATTGTTTATTGATAACAGTGAGATTGATGAGTTGCACCTGGTCTCAGTGAGACCCTCCCCCCCCAAAGGCTCTGCTATTGAGGCTGGTTACATAGCAGGAATATGGCTGTGTGACCAGCAAAATATTTAAAAAAAACCCAGCCAAGACTTTGTTTTGGGCTCACTGGTTCCAGAGTGTTCCTTGCACACTTGGGTGGTTCCTGATCTGAGAGTGAGTGTATGGCTGCCCCTGCCCACAGAGGGAGGACAAAGGAGCCCACCCCTGACCTCTGCTGACCTCTTCCTATGAGACAGCTTTTGGCTGTAATGTTTTATATTGTGTTCTTTTCTTGTAATAAACTGTAGATTTGTAAGCATTGTTATTTAGGGTCCTGTGATTCAAAGAAAACCTGTTTAACTTGCTACTGTTAGTGTAGATGTAAAGCAAAGACTGGTTCAGAGGATTTCTTGCAGTCTGGTATTTTTAGAACACAGAATGAGAAAGGGTATAAAAGAGATGCTAAGGTTACGTTGAGGAGGTACAGGGGAGTGGTATGTCATTGTTAACAGTTGGTTTGGATTTTTCCCTAGGCCACAGGGAATTATCAAAAGGTTTTAAGTGAATGGGGGATGAGGAAGGATAGGGAGGTTGCCCCCCACCCAGGAGATGTGGGGAGGGAGGGTTCTACTGGCATTTAGTGGATAAGAGACCCAAGATGCTGCTAAACGTGCTATAATGCGCAGGGCAACACAGCCCCCTACAACAAAGAATTATCCAGCCAAATTATCTAACCAAAATTGAGAAACCCTGGATTAGAGGGAGGAAATTGGGTTGTGGGAAGACCTTTTAGGAAGTTGTGGCAATAGTCCTGTTTGGATTGTGGATTAAGAATGGAAGAGATGGGATGAATTTGAGAGAGGCAATACCATCAAGAGATTTCTGTGATTAACTGGACAGGTAGGGACACTTAATTTGAGATGATTCCCAGTTTCTATCTTACGTGACCAGACAGGTTGTAAAGGGGTACTTTTATCTGAAATAAGATTACTTGTCTTAAAGTTTGTTGGAAGAAAAGTGGTGTGATGATCAGTTCTGGTCCTGTTCAGTTTGTATATGTATTTGATTATTCAAAGTACAACAGTCAAGAATGAGTAATTGGGTATATAAAAATGAAGTCATTATTTCACCTAGAGGAAAAGTTGTTGAGGAAGAGGAGGAGTAAATGCCAAAATGATAAGAAACTGTTTTTAGATCAAAACATTGTATCTGTATATTAATATTTACATATTTTTACAGTTTCCTAAGTGCATAATTTTATTTCATTTAATTATCAAAATGATCTTGTAACATAGTTCAGTTATTCATCATATCTCTTAAGTGACAAAAGGTCACATAAGTAACCAATCCTTCTTTGAAGTCCAAAGTTTGGTCTGTCTGTTCTCAGATCTCGAATGTCAATATTATGCTAACCAAGAGGGTTCAAGCTTGGAAAGAGAGACTTGTGCCAGCCAATCTCTTGGTTGGGAACCTTCAAACCCAGTGTCTCTTCTTCATCAGTTCTTTCTCAAGTGGATACATACACCCTATGTTTCTTCTCCAGGCTCCTCTCCCTCTTTCTTCCCATCAATTCTTTCTCGTATATGGAGGCCTTTCTCTTTTTTAATAATTTCCCCTTTTTTCTTTTATTATGCTTGTCCAGTTACCTCAGAAAAATCTCTTCTTCCTATCTTTGTACAGCCCAGATGGCCCAAATTATAACTGATTAAGCATAAGCCTTTGAAAATAGCTCCAAAATCCTCTTCAGAAGTGTTTCATCTACCCCCTGGCTTTCTTTTCAATATGCTTGCCCTTAAATACAAGCTTTCCAGATAAAAGATTTAGTTGCTTTTGTATTGTTCTGTTTTGTTTTTGCTTTAATCACAAGTGTGTAAACAATATAGTTTAATCATTTATGTTTTTCCTAGAAACAAGTTTGTAAATGATGATATACTCTTAGAACGCCCACAGGTCTATTCAGTTCGTAATGTAGTTCAAAACAAAATATGCATCAAATTCCATATAACTGACCTATAAAGAACTTAAGAAACAACCTATTTGTAACTTGGCAGTCAAACGAGTTTAAGTTCTATGGTTGAAGTATGCTTTGGGTGTTCTGCTGAGGACTGCCCTACTTTACTACCTCACTACACTACCCATGTGTGTGCTTGAATGATGCTAATAGGAAACTGGGGGAGAAAATTTGGAGAAGGAAAAATTACGTGGCAGTAAGCTTAAGGATCAAGAGTATGACTTTGGAGTTCAAGTTCTGCCTCTGCCTCTTACTAGATGAGCAATCTTGGGTGGGTTGCTTATCTTAACTCAGTTTCTCTGTTTGTCAAATGGGAGGGAAAAACCCCTCTCTTGTAGGGTTGTTGGGAGAATTAAGTGATATAAGAGATCTACATTAACTAGAACAGTTGTCTGGCTAGTAAGCTAGTTTACTCTTACCTGTCACGTGGAAATTTGTCCAGTTTCTCTAAAGCTTTAGTTGAACTGAAATCTGCCTCCCAAGTTCCCATCCACTGGTGAAAATCAGAGTGTAAAGTTGCCTGTGATAGTAAAAGTCCTTTGCCTATAACCTTATTGCCATTTTAACAGGCAACCTGGCTAATTTCTTAAACTTGCTAGTTACAGTGATCACTTCAATTTTTTTTTCTGTTTATAGGTCATTACTGGTGGTCACTATGATGTTGATTGTCGATTAGAAGATCCTGATGGTAATGTGTTATACAAAGAGATGAAGAAACAGTATGATAGTTTTACCTTCACAGCCTCCAAAAATGGGACATACAAATTTTGCTTCAGCAATGAATTTTCTACTTTCACACATAAAACCGTGTATTTTGATTTTCAAGTTGGAGAAGACCCACCTTTGTTTCCTAGTGAGAACCGAGTCAGTGCTCTTACCCAGGTAAATATAAAGTCAGTAATATATTGATAGTATGTTTAAAGGGGGGAAAACATAATTTAATGTGCATTAACTCACTAATGAACGCGGAATTTTGAGATTTTAACAGTCTTTAAGACCTATCTTAATTCTTAGAGTATATAAGGCATTTTGCAGAGATTTTAAGCCTTCTTTTTAGTGAAGTCCAATGTTAAAGGATTTTATGAACTTTTAAGTGTAAAGAAAATAAGTATTAAAATAGGATCACTTAGGTAGAAACATCAGTGGCAAAGGCAATTTAGGAATGCTAAACAGTGCTCCGGCATTCTGAAGCATTTTCTGTAATTCATGGAGGCATCGTGCTACCATGGAGGTTGGTATAACTGGAAGCAAAATGATGCCTTAATTAATATAAATATATTATATTTATAAATATATATTATATTGTGCATTTATAAATATATAAATATACCACGAAGTAGTTTTATACCAATGTTTAGTGTTACTGAAGTTGCTATTACAATAACTTGCTGTAGCTTAAGGTAAAATATTACAGATTAATGGTAAGTCATCTAACAAAAATAGTTAAGGAAGGTAAATTGACATTTATTTTGAAGAAGAGCTTAATGAAAGAAAGATAGCAGAAGAAATTTAAAGTTAGTGAGCAGATACTGCTCAGGCGATGAGAAGGACTATTTTATTTCTAGTTCAAATACCATATGAGCTTAGATTATATCTAAAAGATACTCAATTAGGTATCCAAAGGAATTATTTATCCCTACTTGTTCAAACCTTAAACTGGTATTTCATTGTTCACCGATTCCAGTTAGTCTCTTGGCCAAAGTCATGTGATGATACAGGCAGTTTTAAAGAATGTGTCAGAGCCTTAATTCATAAACCTATTGCAAGCGTTAACAAGATGTATTCAAATGCTCTTGTTTTTAGAAATGACCTCTTTATTTTAGCATCCTGTATGAATGGCACTTTGCTTTGTAAAAAGATTTTTCTTTGGGGCCATTGTTTATAACTTAACATTCATGAATTTTAATTTTGTATAAAAAGGTAGCTTGCTCTAAAAACCTAAGTAGATAAATATAAAAAATGAGTGGTGATAAAGCAATTAGTACCACTTCATTTATTTGTATCACATTTTTAATCTTTTTTTAAGTTTGATTTTTCTACTTTCAGAAAGCTAATAAGTCTCTCATATAATAGGGATACTTCTAAAGCAGCTAGCTGTTCATACTTCAAAATTGAAAAAATTACCAACTAGTAAATATAGAATAAATGATAGAGTTTTACTAAATCACCATTATTTTTTGGTGAGGGAGGAAGATTGGCCCTGGGCTAACATCTATTGCCAGTCTTCCTCTTTTTGCTTGAGGAAGATTATCTTAGCTAAAACATCTGTGCCAGTCTTCCTCGTTTTTGTGTGTGAGTCACTGCCACAGCATGGGCCGCTGATGAGTGGGAGTGGTGTAGGTCCGTGCCCAGGAACCAGACCTGGGCTGCTGAAGCAGAGCGCTTAACGATGAGGCCACAGGGCCAGCCCCAATTCAGCTGTTTTTAAAATACTTAAAATAACCTTGACTAATTCAATCTATGTTTATGCCATATCTGGCTTATTCTTGTATATATTTGGACTTTGATTTATATTCTTTTAATTGGTCAAATTTACTGACGTGCCATTCTCTTCTTCCTAATTCTTCCTCTTTGAGGAACCTGGCTTGAAATTCTGTAGCCACCAACCTTAACTGATAAGTATTTCTGCTACGGTTAGCTTAATGTTTCATCTACCACCTTACTGATGCCACAGCTGTGACATTCCATTTTGAGACAAATAGCTATTTCATGGGATCTCTAGCCTTACCAGTTGTCCTTGTGGGAATGACTTGCATTGCCAGGACCACTGGCATAAATGAGTGAGTGAATGAGTGCCAGTTTAGTAGAATGTTAATCAAATGAGAAAGTGAGATCAAGTTGAAAGAAAAGATGAGTATGCTAGATGTGTTGTACAGAAAGTATTAAACGTACTAACTGGAAATATTTCTCTTTAGATGGAATCTGCCTGTGTTTCAATTCATGAAGCTCTGAAGTCTGTCATCGACTATCAGACTCATTTCCGTTTGAGAGAAGCTCAAGGCCGAAGCCGAGCAGAGGATCTAAATACAAGAGTGGCCTATTGGTCAGTAGGAGAAGCCCTTATTCTTCTGGTGGTTAGCATAGGGCAGGTGTTTCTTCTGAAAAGCTTTTTCTCAGATAAAAGAACCACCACAACTCGTGTCGGATCATAACTACGTTTTGAGAATTGATGCACCATTGCCACTGTAATATTGCTGTCCTCCAATTAATTTTAGGTACCGAAGAACTTAATATTGGCAACATTTTTAAAACCTTACTCATACACTTGTTGGGGGGGATGTACAATGCATATCCCCAAACTGTCGAAAGGACACCTTTTTTTATTTGTAAAGGTAGAAAAACTTTGGAACTTATTTTGGGCTATTCATGTTAAATATTCAACACCAATGATCTGCTCTTTTCTTGGTTGTTTATATCTTCTCTTCGCACACTAAACTTTGGTATTTTGATTCCTTTTAGCCATTTAAAAGTACTTTTCTTATTGGTAGTGGATATTGTAAAAACCTTCAATTTAATGTCTACATGTATTGTGGAGGAAGAAAATTGTCTTTTAATTGTTTATAGTAAATAAAGTTTTGTTTTTAAGAAAACTAAATGTGGTTAACAGTAGCCCAAGCCTATTCTGCACTGTTTAATATGGGGGGGGAAAACTACCGTAGAAATGTTTGTTAATATTGATATAATTTTAAGTTGATACATCATGGTATAATTTATTTCTCACTAGCTCGGAAAATGTCAGATTTTTGTTTCTTGGTTTATTCTATGATTTATAACCAGATGTTATTTTTTTCAAAAAGACATTCTTACCACACAGAAAATAGTATGTTTCAATAACATAATAGAGTTTATACAGGTCTTAAAAATTAGACTGTTATAAAAAGATAAAATAATTACAGAATAATTGAAGACACTATAGTGGAGGGCAAATGAAATGAGAAGATTTTTAGTGAGTTATCTGCACACATTACATTTTCAGTGCTTTTACAAAGAAAAAAGGTGATCTGTTTCATTTTAACATTTTACTTGGCTGGTTCTTGCCCTTATGTGGCTTTAATGTCTTTGAGTCTTAAATTGACAGTTGTAATATGATTGTAAAAGTGCCGTACATTTTATCCTTGTGGGTGTGATGCACTGAGAAGTAAGTTTCCTTGGTTGTTTTTTTCTTTCTTTTTTTTGTCTCACACCTATAATTTGTACAATCTCTGGTTAGCAGCCGTAAAATGATTTAAAAATTTAGAATGCTGTGTGTGTGTTTCTTACTTGATAATCTTTATTGATTGTACTGCATTTAATGAGTATTAAATAGTGCATATTCTGTGCACCTAAAGGGTTTAGACTGTGTTTGTATTTTATGACTTGTATGGATTGGGCTGATTGACATAAGATTTTGTTCCAAGTATTCTAGAACAGAATACAATATGATGCAAAATTGTATAGATGTTTAAAGCTCTTTTGCTGCTTAAAAAAAAATTGCAACTGCGTTTTGCTGTACCTCCTTCCCCCACCCAAAGTGATGAGTACTGAACAAGACTGTTGTATTATGGAGACTTTATGCGGTACCATCGAATACTGATTGGATAGCAATGCTAGTCACTTACCACTACTGACTGGAAGCTAACTCTTAATTCTAAGCTATCTTAAGATGCATATATACACTTCTGCATGTAAATCAAAATGAATTCAAGTTGTTGTGCTTCCTAATTTCAAATGCTACAATGTAGCAAGAGATGACCATGTTTTCAACCCTTTAATTCTAAAATTTTTGAAGACCAAATAGCTACTTTTAAATAATATTTATCAGTGGATAAAGAACTGAAGTTTAAGATTTTGCAGCTTTATCTGTTTAGGTTCTTGGAGTTGTCCTGCAGCTTTATAAGTGTCTTTCTCTATTTAGATTTGAAAATTTTAAACACTAATGTTAATGTGATTGATAAGCACAGACATGTTAAATGTCCTTTTCTGGTTGTCTGCTCAGTTGTGCTCAGATACTTCTGCCATAATTAAGCAGAGTCAGGTATCATCAGTGTTTGGAGTTCGGCATAGATAATGCAGTTATCTAATCTATGCCTATCCAAACTTCATGATATTAGACTATTACCACAGTAACTTGATGAAACTATTGAGATATATTAAAATTTTTGAAATCATCATTCTTACCTGTTGTAGAAAATAGTACAGGCTTGGTCTAGTCTGTATGTAACCGATTAAAGTTTGATGGCTGTGTATACTCAACTGGGTGTGTATAAATTAGAAAATACATACCTATCCAGATGTAAATGTTAAGTAAGAACTTTTCTTCCTCCTACTATATAATTTGTAGCTCATCTTTTCTCTTTAATCTTTTCATAACTTGTTGGAACAGTTTGAATTTCCCAAATATGTTTGGACGTATGGCTCAGAATACATATTTAAACATCATTAGCTGAATATATTTTTAAAGTAGAATAAATAATGGAAAGGGAGTTGATATACAAGTTTATACTAAAATTTCAACTGTGTGAAGATACATTTTAAGATATTACTTTGCTAATAATCTAGACATTCTTTTTTCTATTAAAGAAACAAATGGTTTGTCGTTCACAACTTTCATCCTGGGTTGGTGATAATCAACTTTGAAAATACAGTGCACTGAAAAGCGTTTTTATTCTTTGAAAGATTTCGTTTAAATCTCTGTACTATCCATTTTTGCTTCAGTTTGTAAATGTGTAACATTTATAGTTAAATAGGACAAAGCAGATTTGATGACTACTGTTTTCAAAAATTAAGGTAATATATAAATAATTCAAAGGAGTTTCTCATTTACTTTTGAAAAGAAAAAGATTTCTCTAAGTTAAACATATTGGTTCTGCAGGATTGCACCATCAGTTCTTCTAGAATAAAAAAATCTTTCAACAAACTGACTTCACTTGTTTCTGTCAGGATTTGAATCTCTTTAAAGCTCCTTATGAACTTGTAGCGTGGCTCACGGTATTGTAGCGAGAGAGTGATTATTTATTTGGTGTTTCAGAGAAACTAGGGACTGGCCAAGAAGGAAAGTTAAAGAAGAGAAATACCACCTCTAAACTGCCTCATTTTTAACCTTTTTGCATTTCTTACTGAAACTTTGGGTGAAAGACAGTTAAGCTTTCAGTTCCCTAAAAAGCTCTTAGTTTTTGAGTAAGTTAACCTTAGGTTGTATAATACAGATTTCCCTCAATTTCTTTCTTTCCCTCCATAGTATAGTCAGGGAATACTCTGGTTCCTGGGCACAAATCTATGAAAGTAGCAGAGAATTAACAGTAAACATAGGTTAACATGTATTGAATGCTTACCCTGTGCCAGGTGCTGTGCTAAGTATTTTACTTGTATTGATACATTTCATCTTTGCAATATTCCTGTGAACTAAGGATATTATTCCCATGTTATAGATAAGGAAACAGGCATAGAGAGGTTAAGAAGCCTGCCTGTATCAGTTAGTAACTTGCAGAGTCTGAATATGAACTGTGGCAGTCTGGCTCCAGAGCCCTCTTCCTCAACCACTGCAGTATTGCCTTACAAACACCAATTTGAATAGATCTCTGAAAGCTTAACTATCTGGATTTCGGTATGGCTCAGTAGCAGTGCGGTGCTTTGGCTTTGGCGTCAAAGCCAAGCTCAAATCATGGTTGTGTGACCTCACACAAATGATTTTATTAACTTTGTATATTTCTGTTCATCTATTACTAAGGTCATATCTACTATAATGAGAATGTAATGAGGTGTTTATAACACACTTAGGATCAGTGCATATCATATACAAGCGCTTAATAAATAGTAGCTATATTTTTATCATTGGTCCAGTTCTGATCTCTTGATGTTTACTTTATAAAGTTCTTAGTGTGGCCTCTACTCATATAGCTCTTAATATGTAACACAAACATGAAAGTGTTTATCATGTACATAATAGTCTGCTAGAAGTTTCAGAAATGGATAATATAGTTTGATCTCCAGGAACATAATTTAGTTTGGGGAGACAATAGCCAAATGAGCAAGTAATGTTACATAAGTAATGAAGCAGAATGGACTTGAAGAGTCTTCAGACATAAGGGTGCTGGAGATAAAAGAGAATATCTAGATGAAGACTTATTCCCCAAGGAATTTAACTTTCTCTCGCCACGGGAGGCCGAGGTTGTCTAGCTAGGCCAGCAATTGAGTGGATTAATCTGTAATTCAGGCATATGGACTATTAGCCAGCCCCATTGCTACAGATGGAAAAACATGATCTTTAACTCTGTTAATAATAAAGGTGAGGTTTGATCTCATAACTTCTCCATCTCAGTTGTTTCCAGGTTCTGGAGGAAAGTGCAAGGATGTTATCCCTAAACCACCAAATGTGCTAGGTTTTAGTCTGCATTTCTCCATTTTATCCAGAAGACACGGTTAGGAATGATCACATTGCCTACTGAAATCAAGATATACTAGAAGTTTTACACTGATCTGGTATACAATCTGTTTTTAGTGCTGATAATTACTAGTGATTAGTGTTACCTTAAAAAGAAAAGGCAACACAAGAATTTGAGAAATAATGATTTGAAGAATAAAATCTACATATAATCCCATTATCTATTTTGATAAATTTCAGTTATTTTTATAAATATATGTATATATTTTTAAAGAAGGTGGTCTTATACCTCACTTGCTTAATTTGCATTTCCATATGGTTAAGTATTTTTTTCTCACAGGTTTATTTACCATTTGGATTTCCTTTTTTGTGAAGTCCCTGTTCAAATCACTTGCCTATTTTTAAAAATTGGATTGTTTGGGGCCAGCCCAGTGGCGTAGTGGTTAAGTTCGTGTACTCGGCCTGGGGCTCACAGGTTCAGATCCCAGGCACAGACCTAGCACTGCTCGTCAAGCCATGCTATGGCTGCATCCCACATAAAATAGAGGAAGATTGGCACAAATCTTAGCTCAGCAACAACCTTCCTCAAGCACAAAGAGGAAGATTGGCAACAGATGTTAGCTCAAGGCCAATCTTCCTCACACGCAAAAAAATTGGATTGTTTGACATATTTTGGTTAACAGGATTGCTTTATATATTCAGGAAACTAATCCTTTGGTTCTATTTCAAATATCTTCTCAGTTTGTGTTTATCCTTCTGCTCCTAGTGAAATATGTCAGTCTTTTCCTGTATTGTTGGTTTTTTATGTCTTGTTTAAGAAATACTTCTCTATCCTGAGGTCATGAATATCTTCTCCTGTACTATGTTCTAAAATATTTATAATTTTGTCTTCTACTTGAATTTTGCGTTTGGGATGAGGTAGGTAACCACATTCTTTTTTAAAATTTCTTGAAAACTCATCTTTATTGATTTGCCATGCCAATTCTGTAATCTATTAAATGCCCATATTTACATGAGTCTGTTTCTGGGCTCTCTGTTCTATTCTATTGATCAGTTTGTCCATACACCAGTGACATACTGTCTTAATTACTAAAGCTTTTTAAGTTTTTGCTATTTGATAAAAACAAATCTTTATACCTTGTTCTTCAAGAGTGTGGCTATCATCTGTCCTTTGCATTTTTGTATAAAGTTTAGAATTAGCACAAGTTTCAACAAAAAAAATAAATCTGT